ATTTGTTCTAGTCCTTTTCCTTTTCCCCACCCCCTCCCCACTTTCACTTCCCCTTTGAACCACTGCTTCCTATTTCTAACAAAAAAAAAAAAAAAAGAACCACTGTCATATACCTATCAATGACCCGAGTGTTTTGCACCAAGCACTGCACACCAGGCACATGACCACATGCTGAGTGTGCACTCCCCGAACTCTGATCTTCCCAATAACCTGCCGGGGGGAGGTTGGAGCATCTTCTTAGAGAGGAGGAAACAGCAGCCGTACAGAGTTGAAGTAACTGATCTGGCACAGTGCAAACAGGAGGTAGAATGTAGGAGTGTAAGTCAGTCCAAAGCCCATGAGCAGCCGCCCTATTCATGCCAAGGACTCATTGGTGGACAACCCAAGCAAGCTCTCACGACATTCCCACGTACCGACCAGAGAGGGCGCCAGAGCTCTTGGAAGCAGCATCTTTAGCCATGTCAAAGAACAAGCCTTCTAGATCAGTTCAAACACATAACTCAGGAAGCCTCTGTTTAATCAGCACTGCGAGTGATGCAAGAATGAAAAATATTTACATTCTACGCAATAACAAGAAGCTAAACTAAGGCCATGGGTGGTTATGGAGTACTTGAGCTTCCTTGGGTTTGGTTCCTCCATGCGCTGTGGTAGTCATAGTATCGTGAACTCTTGAGTTCCCAGGGTTGGAGCCAGGACTCACCGAGAGGAAGGAACTGTATTGTCCGTGAGATACGATACCGCTTCCCCAGGTATGTGTACGGCGCCTGGCAGGTATAGTTCCCTCTGTGCTCCGGAGCCACGTTCTTTACAAGCAGAGTGTTTCGGACTCCAATAAAATGTGCATTGTCGAGAAGTAGAGGTCTGCAATCCTAAGAAGTGGAGAAAAGGGAAGCATAGAAAATCAACTAATGGCTTCCCCAATGTACCTATTAGCAAATTTGCATTTTAAAAAAGTGACTGAAAAAGTTCCTTGAATAAGTTTTAATATTACATTTCTTTTGGGGAGGCAAGGGTGGAAAAGTTAATTATATTCCTATGATACTGAATTTTTATTCCCAGAGCCTCATGGAAGTGAAGACAAGTTTATTTTGCAAGAACGTGCTTGAGGAAAAAAATGTTTTTACACTGTAGTTTCTTATAAATGCTGCACTTCTTTTCTTCACTGTTATTATTTATTTTATATTTCCCAACCCCTAAAAGATGATTCCCCATTTAAGTTCCAACAAAAAAAAACTATTTTATTTGCTTGGAAAATTATACCATATTTAAAATAAAATTACCTTAAACCACTGTACCTCAGGGAACTCATTATTTTCATCTTTTAAAAAATCCAAATGAGGGCACACAAGTCTTCCATCTCCTGAAATGAGTAGTTTCTGTCTAAATATAACTTGTGTATTATAACACAAGTTAGGCTCATTCTCCATAAAATGTGCAGTTATTTTAATTTTGAGGCAGTAAGTTGAATTTCTAAAACAAAGTAAAATGAGGAAATTACACATTATTAAAAGATTTTGTGTCCTTAACTACCGTAGGTACTTAGAACACATGTGTATAATGTATTAATTCCCTTCTTACCTTACAGCACAGTAATAATGTCCTGAATCCTCTACTTTAGCAGGAACAAACCAAAGCTTTTCTTTCTGCTGATTAATCCTGCAGTTTTGATCCACACATACAGGCGTCTTGCCGTCATTTTTATACCAAATCACGGGACCTAAGTTTTCACCTGGGTTAAGATTGCAGGCTCCAACAGCAATTTCATTTGCAGATGAAGCTAAAATTATTCGATCTTCACGCTCAGCACATTTATCTTTAAAAGGCAGAAAGGGGAAGCAATTTCTGTACAACTTTTTCAATGCTTCTTAATGTAATATCTACAGATAAATACATCTATTATAAAATACATCAGTTCATACTATATGTATGTAAAAGCTAAAGAGCAACATCTTGGGAGTCTGGAAAATTTACCTTCAATTTCAGCTATGTTACCTCTGAGCTGTACCTTTGGGCAAATCACTTAACCTCTTACTCCCTTTTTATCCCTCTTTATTCACACAAACATAGGATTAATATAGGAGGAGAGGCAGCCACTTCTGCATGAGATGGACAGTAAGAACCAGATTTTCCCTCCCACCTAGGCAACTAAAACAGTAAAAACAACACTGTCAAAGACACTGAACATGAAGGAACGAAGGACAGAGATCTCAGAAAGATAGGTGAAGAGCCCAACAACTGTCCAAAATCACTACCCCAGTTGCTGCCTGGCTATGACATGGCCAAGAAGAAACATGGGCAAAGTCCAGCTTCTAGCTTAGGGGAGCTGAGTTAAGAATGTGGAGGGTTGGCAGGGCAAAGGGCCTAAAAGGTTGGCACTGTGCATAGAGAGAGGGCTTGTAGATGTACAGAGAGTCTCCTAGCACTGTCAGCTGAGTACCAATCAATGGAAAAACGGAAGAAAACTACCCAAGGCTAGAGTGAGAACTTCACAGGGATGAGGAGGAATAATGCCTAGGACAGACATAATGCTGGGAACAGTTGCTATTCCCAAAAGCCCGAAGGGAAATCCTCCTTAATCACAAGGCAGCAGGAAGAGTACCCAAAAAGTTCAGCTTTGGAGCCAGCCAACCATGGCCTGAAAAACATGTGCCAAAATGAACCTCTCCTTCTTCAAGTTGTGGGTGTTGGGTATTTCGTCCTAGTGATGAAAAAGTGACTAAGACACCCGGTACCACAAAAAAAGACGAGACAAGAAAAAAAAAAGACTGGCATTTTGTTTTTCAAAACAAAAGGCTTACAATAATTAAAAGAATATTTATTTACAACAAAACAAAAAATATGCTGAATCAAAGAACAACTGGGTGGATGGCTTTTTAAATTCAACTATTCCTATGCCTCACATCTAGTCATGAAATCCAGGAGCTTGGCAAACACAGTGGCTGTTAAAACCAGCAACCCTCCAAGAACAAATGAAGTCTGGACCTCCTCAGAAAGTCTCTCACTCCTGGTGCACTAACAATCTTGGACCTAACTGGTAGTTCCTGGAAGTAACAGTCAGAGACTTGTGTTATTGACCTGACTCAAAGTTGCACATAAGAAGCCCTATCCACAGGGACATGGCCACAGCCCATAGGGGACATGAGAACTCTCGCACACTCCTGGGGGTCTAGCAGGGCTGTTCACACCCTCAGCCCAGAGCAGAGGAGGCACCAGGTTCTTGAGTCTAAATAACCCTGAGGTCCCAAGCAGGAAGTAGAGGGTGAGGCACACTTGTCCACAACCTAAGTGTTGAAAGCATGTCTCAGATATGCACAGCCTCCCGGCAAGGGGCAAAACCAAGAAATTTAAGGAAATCTCTGGATGATCATGAGCTGACCTTGAAATTAACCCAGCAGTGACTTCAGGGGCAACATACTAAAGGAAACACAGGCTACACAAGATTAGCCCAGAAAAGCAGTGACATAAATGGACAAAAGTTTTAGGAACACAGCAGTTTAAAAATCAACAATTAACAACAAATGTGTATAAGAGGATATATGATTCCTAGAGTCAAACTTTATTCTACCTAGAACATCCAATTTTCAACAAAATATTACAAAACATTAAAAAATAGGAAAGTACGCCCCATACATAGAGGGAAAAAAGCTGCCAAAATTGTTCTGGAGAAGTCTAAGTGATGCTAGATAAAGACTTTAAAATGGCTATTAAAAATATGTCCTAACTATTGAAAAAAAAAACTATGTCTAAAGAATTAATGTAGAGTGTCAATAAAAAAGACAGAAATAGTCAAAGAAAACCAAGTAGAAATTCTGGAGTGGAAAAGTCCAATAACTGAAGTGAAAATTTCACTAAAGGAGCTCAATAGCAGATGTGAGCTGCAGAGGAAAGAATCTTCTGGTGGACTTGAAGATCAGTCACCTAGTTATGGAAAGACTAGTTGATCTTAAAACAAGAACACAAAGCAGGGGCTCAGAGGCCCGTGAGGCTGCATGCAGTCTACCAACAGATAAAGATACGGAATAGGGTCCCAGGAAAAGGGAGGAGGGAAGCAGAGACAGAGACAGAGAGAATCAGTTAAAAAAAATAAATAACTGAAGAAGTAATGTCCAAATAGTTCCCAAATTTGATGAAAACATTAATCTATCCATCCAAGAAGCTCTATGATCTGCAAGTAAGATAAAATGAAAGAAATATACGTATAGGTGCAACATAGTGAAATTACAGGAAGATAGAATTTTAAAAAGAGCAAGAGATAAATGTCTTGTAATACGCAGGCCATCTTCAATAAGGCTGACAATTGGCCCTCAGAACCCACAGAGGCCAGAGGCAGTGGAGGGACATAATGTCCACGCTGAAAGCAGATGGCCAGCAAAGAACTCTATAGCTGGAAAAACTATCAAAAAATGAAGAAGAAATAAAGACACAGATAAACCAAAACTAAGACAATTCTTCATAAGCAGACTTGCTCTCCAAAAAAAAAGAAAAAAAAGACTGAAGAGTCCTTTAAGTTGAAATACAAGAATCTAAGCCAAGCACCCCTGCAATCCTAGCACTTGGGAGGCTGAGGCAGGAGGATCACTACAAGTTTGAGGCCAGCCTAGGCTATCAGCCTGAACTAGTGAGACCCTGTCTCACAAAGCCCAAAAATGGAGTAGAAGATAAAAGAACCTAGACAATAACTCAAATCCACATAAATAAATAAGAAATGCCAATAAACATAAGTAAACAAAACTATATACATAAATATATTCTAAAATACAAATAACCACATGAAAAAAGCTCACTGTCATTAGCAAATTGAAATTAAAACCATTATCACATAATACCACACATCCATTAGAAGGATGAAAGTGGAAAAAGATGGACTGTAACAACTGTTGGTAAAGGGTGTGGAGAAACTGGAACCCTCCATCGCTGGGGAAGATACCAAGCGATACAACTTTAACAACGTCTGCTGTTTTGTCAAAAACTTCCCGATGCATCATCCCCCAAATGACCACGAAGTTCCATTCCTGGGTATCTGTCCAAAGGAATGAAAGTGTACATCCATTCAAAGACTTGTACACCAATATTCTTAACACCTCTATTTTAATTGCCAAACTTGAAATAGCCAAAATGTCCTTGAATGTATCAAAATACATCCACACAACAGAAATTACTATGAACACATAGAAAGAAACTAGATTCCTCTCCCTCAAAAAGAGTTCATACTATATAACCCCATTTATTTAAGATTTGAGAGAACACAAACAAGCTATAGACCCAAAAGCAGATCATCCCCTTGCCTGAGGATGAGGGATGGGGAGGGATGAGGAGGAGGATCTTAAACGGACAAAAGGAAACTAGATGGTGATGGGAGTGTTTGCTGTGTGACTGTGGTTATAGCCACAGGGCATCTGTGCTGCCCACACTTCCAACTGTGTACTTTGAACAGGTGTGGTCACCATATATCAGTTATGCCTCCATAAGCTATTAAACTTTTGAATGCAATCAAAGAAGTGCAATCAAAGTGGCTAGGAACTCAGCATGGTGCCCAGGTAGACTCAGGACTCCTTACGCTTAGCTGCCGGGAAGGCCACAGCAACAGCAGCCTTGAGGAGAATAGTAAACTCTAGGTAAGTCCTCAGTGAGACTACACTTGTGTGTCTGAGGTTTGACTCACACCACCAAAAGTGTCCTGACCAAGGTCACCCATGACCGTAATGCGCTCGGATAAACAACTCTCCGACATGTCTGACCTGGCGTGTGGGTATCTATCTGACAGGTACCTAAGAGCATGGGGGCACCCTTGAAACCCTTCTTCACTTGGCTTTCAGGACGTGAGTCAGGCCTTACGTCTCTTCCTGGTTCTCTGACCAGTGGACGCCTGACCGTCTACCCTTACAGGGACTCAGGCTCGGCCCTAGAGCTCATCATCTTTCCTCTCTATACTCAGTGACCAGTCTGTCTCATGGTTCTCCTGCCCACTGCTGGCTGATGTCACCGTTGTACGCAGGGTCACCATCTAGATACCCAAGGGGCCGCTGAACTTGACTTGTCCACAGTGAAAGCCTTCCCCTCTCCCATCCCACAGCAGCAATGTCACCTTCTATCTGCGAAGGCCAAAGCCCTGGGAGTCACCCTCAACTCTCCCCTGCCCCTCACCCCTCACATCATGCCCATCTACAGATCCCCATGGCTACCATCCTCACAGTCCACCCCAAACCTGGCAACTTCTGGTTCCTCCTTCTTTGCCGCCTGCAGACAAGCCATCATCATTTCCTGCTCAGAACCTGTCACTATCAGGACTTGTGTGAGCTTTTGCAAGAGTTTCTGATCAGGCCTCTGTGTCTGCCCTCGCCTTCCTAGAGCCTGTTCTCAAAGCAGGAATCAAAAGGAGCCTGTGTGTGGAAGTGGAAGTCAGGTCTATTCTCTAGTTTTGTATAAAGAAGCCCTGCAGCCTTCTCATCTGAGTCAAGCTAGAAACCAAGATCCTTAGAAAGTTCTGCAGGGCTCTACAGAACCCCTCCACCATGCTGGCAGTTTAGTTCCTAGAACATCCCAACTGTGCTTCACCTCAGGGCCTTTGCACTTGCTCCGCATGATACTTCTACCCCTCAGCCCAGGACCTGTACTGCTCTCTCCTTCTCCTGCTTCAGGTTCAATTCAAAAGTCAGCTTTTCACTGAGGCCACACTATCAGCAATTTTATCTTCTGTGTACTCCGATCCCAAAACTGTATACCTTGCTTTCCAGTTGCTTTCCTCCTTAAGCTCATCACCACATGACAAACTGCAGCATCTGTTTACTTATAAAATGGATTATCTCCCTCCCACAGGAATGTAAACACCTGCCGGTGGAAATCTCTGCCTGGATTATTGATTCTTTTGTCCCTGGCACCCAGTACCTGGCACAAGTCAGAGGCTCCCAAAATTTGTAGTAAGGGATGGAGAAGGGAGAAAAAAATGTGAAGACAGAAAACAAAACTGTGTCCTGAAGGTTTCTAGCTGTGGGTTCGCAGACTTCATTGTCACTTTTCAATGACTATAAAGTGGGAAGAGCCTGGATTACACCTTGGAGACCCAGACTTGAGCCCTGGCTTCAAAACTAGTACGTGACCCTGGGTTCTGGACCTCTCTGGTCCTCAGTTTCCCAATCTGTGAGTGAGGGGCTGAGAGGGGAAGATGCTAAAGGAACTTGGAGTTACACAGTTTTATGGCCAGGAGGCTCTGCGTCCTGGGAGTCAGCAAAGACCAGTAAGAAAAGCAACCCTGCCGGGAAGGTATTTCCTGCATTCTGGATCATGGCTTTTCTCAGTAGATGGTATGTTTAACTTACCAGCCTCCAAAGACATCAGCAGTGCCATGAAATAGACAACTCTGAGTGACACTTTCATATTCTCCTAGAGAAATGGAGGGATGGAAGAAAGACAAAAATGTGACTATTCCAGCCAATCCCTACAGCTGAATACACTGACTCTGACTGTCCCAGCATACCCAAGTCACACCCGTGGACCAGTCTTCCCACAGCATTACTGAAATCATGCTGGGACTCTTGTTAGAAAATGGAGGGTAGGGGAGGAGGATGATTTTTAACGGGATTAAGGACAACTCTGCAACTTAAGACTTTAACAATTTCTACCATCTCTCCTAATACACATTTTTAGACTCACATCCTACTTAAATTCCCCGAAAATTAATCTACAACCAATGCAAAGCAGCAGGGACACTTTTCTGGGACTTTCCCCAACACCTAGAATAAGCATACATGAATCTTTTCACAAAGTAAACTCCAACCAGCTCCCCATCCTAGTGGGCTTCATATCTGCAGATTCAACCCAACTGCAGATCTAAACTATTTGAGAAAAAATTATTTCTGTTCTGAACATGTGAAAACTCTTTTTGGTCATCATTCCCTAAACAATACAGTAAAATGCCATTATTCATGTGGCATTTACATTACATTAGGTATTACAAGGAACCTGGAGGTGATTTAAAGAACACAGGAAGATGTGTATAGGCTGTGCGTAACACTACATAATTTTATATAAGGCAGATGAGCTCTGTGGATTGGGGCAAGTGTGGGGGTCCTGGGACTGAAGCCCAGTAGACACTAAGGGACAGCAGTATTCGCTAGACCTAAACCAGCCCACCTCTGCCCCTGTGGCCTGGTTTCCCATCTGGAGCGCCCCCTGCTGATGAGGACCCCTCACAAAAGTCTTCCCATACTTCACGGTCCGCTCCCAGATCATGCCTTCCTTTTATCACACAAGATCCTAAATTGTTTGCTCAACATAATATAGTTACACAGAAAAGCCCCTGAAAGGACCAAAAGAAATCCTAGCTATAATAAAATGGAGTTGGCCCTTGTGGTTGGGTGGGTTCACCCTTCCCTGGGGCTTTTTACACTTTCCCAAACATCTGGCACAAGCAGGCATGAATCTTCACAAAAGAAAAGCTCCACCACCCCTCTGAGTGCTTCCAAAGGCCACAACAGCGCAGCAGCAGCAGCAGCAGCGACCACAGGTCCTGCTCAGTGAGGGGCTGCACTGTAACCCGCGGTCCTGGGCACGGGGCATCTTGGTTACTCAAGGCTCTGTCCACACACGGTGCCAGGTGTGACGGGATCAGGGTCGCACCGAGGACAGTAGATAAGAGTGTGCCCATTGCTTTATCTGCCAGACAGAATCACTAAAATAAAAACTCCTCAATGTTGCCTGCCTTTCTAAACCTCTCGGGCCCAAATGAAGTCAATGTTCACCGTAGCCTCCAAAAGGAAAACTCTCTGAGTGTTTCTGTTTCATGCTCCTGAAGGGAACCCGACCAGAACACATAGAAAGTTTCAGCCTTGAATCTTCACCAAGCTTTTGTGCAAATCCACTGAGGTCCATGAGTACCTCAAACTCAACAGAATCCAAAACCCAAACTCATTCTTGCCCAGGAAAGCATCATTTGCCAATGCTCCCCAGCTTGGTGACAAGCACAGCCCCCCACCTACTGGGCAGGCACTTAAGGGAGACCTGGACTGAGGCTCCTGCGGCTGCCACCGCCCTATTGCCTCTCCCCAAGCCCCATCCTATCTGTGTCCCTAGACCACCAGACCCACCCAGTGCCCCAACGGCTACTGCTGTTGCCACTGTGTACCTCAGCAACCTCGGGCTCCTGCCTGGCTTCCTTGTGGCCTCAGGCTCCTGGTCCTCTCTCTATGTGAAACTTTACAATCCAGGGAGCCTTCGAGCTCTGTCACCAAATGATTCAATGGAAACAGCTTCCTCCACCCGTGTGCCCAGCAGTCCCTGCTCTGCCCATGGATGTCCTGTGCCGGCCTCTCCCTACCCTCTGCCCCCAGAACCCCCCAGGTTCCAGACTCTCGGCCTCTGCCACCCCCGGCTCTCCCTCTGCCCAGTACCTAGCTCCTTCCCCTCTACCGCACCTCCCACCTGCCCTTGTCTGGGCCCCCGGCAACCCCTGCACCAGCTTCCTGCACTTACAACAGAGTGGGAAACCTCAGCAGTGCGGAGACCAAGCTGCTCTCTGTCCCCTCGGCACCCAGTTCCCTGCTTGAAACCCAGAGGCACTTAATAAAGTCGCATGGGACTTAATGGAAAAAAAAAAAAGCATAAAAGCAACAGCTAAGCCTCCATTCAACCTTGGGACAATATCCTACGAGACCAGAAGTCCGGTGTTTGGACCAGAACACTGTGCTCAAAAAATAATCCGCCTTTTGATTTTTACAGGATATTAAATTCATCTATATGTTTATATATACCCAAGTGAGTAACCGGGTGGACACATAAACTGTTGTAACTAAGATGACACTACTTCAGACTCCGGACAGATGAGCATCTCACTATTAGCTGTAATATGCTCAGCTTACGAAATTTCATTAAAAGGTATGAACATACCGCAAGGTGCTTTAAACAAATAATGGGGGAAGTTCTTTTTTTTTTTTTTGGCAGTACCAGTGAGTAAACCCAGGCCCTTCACACTGAGCTATATCCCCAGTCCTTTTGATTATTTTTTTTTTGAGACAGGGTCTTGCTAAGTCACTAATTGGCCTCAAACTTTTGATCCTCCTGCCTCAGCCTCCCAAGCGGTATTTTAAGCATTGGAGATACTCTCATTTGCATTCTTGTCACTTTATCCCCAGTGTCAGGACAAGATGCCTATGCCCAGCTCAAGCCTGAAATCCTGCCTCAGAGCCTTAAAACTGGCTCCCTCCAACAACCTGCAGCCCTCACATTTGGTTCAAGTCAATGGCCCTCCTCCCCAATTGGTCTACATTAATATATTATTAGTGCATTTATTTTAAAACATATTCAAATTGTGGAATAAGGTAGAAGGTGTTGAAGTCGTGTAGCCTGGCTTATTTCCTCTTCCTATCTTTAGGACAGGGAGAAGGGAAGAAAGGGTTAAAATACTTCCTGGTTACCAGTTCCTGGCCATCCACCCACTCTTACTCTGGCTAATCAACAGCAGGGCAGGCAGTGATGAAATCACCCAATGGCAGCTGTCAGCGCACGAAGCACAAGACCAGGCTTGCTTCAAAGGCAGGACACAGACAGGGAGTAAAAGATCTTCTACAGAAAATGCGCCTCAGGGCCTACCCCAGATTAAGGACAGACAGACGGCCTTAACTGTCCAGGTCAAGGCCAGGGTGTCCATGAGGGCGGTGTGATCTTCCACATGACTCCTCCCTGGCCCTCAGTTTTCCCCTCAAACCACTTTCTGCTCTAACAGCCTATAAAACAGGGGTCCAGCTTCTACTTCTGCCCAAAACTGCCTGGAAAAAAACAGGAAGTAGGAGAAGCCCCTTCTCCTAGCAGCAGCTTTCTGGCTTTTTTGTTTTGTTTTGGTTTTCAATTTCTGTTTTTATTAGTACCTATCTGCAGTACATGTGGAGCTGGTACGTGGACATAACACACCTCAGTCCTTCTTGTACGCCCCTCCTTTCCCCTCCTCCATCTCTTGGTCCTCTTCCCATGTGCAAAAGATCCAACTCCCTATTTCCTATTATCTATCTCTTATTTCGCTCTTCATTTACACTTTGGGTTTCTCACATAAGAGAAAATATTTAAGCTTGTGTACCTGATGTACTTCCCTTAACACTATGGTCTCAAGGTACATCCATTTTCCTACAAAAGATTCAAGTTTACCCTTTACGGCAGAGTACTACTCCACTGTATATACACACTTTATTTTATTTATCTATTCATCCGGAGATGGACAAATGGGTGACTTCCAAGATTCAGCTACTATGAATTGTAGCAGTGGCCTTTCCAGATCAGTATCTGTGCCCAGAACCCTCAGAGAAGGGGTCAGCTCTGAACTGGAGATAAGCATCAAGGCCACAGCCGCCCAGGGAGGGAGGACAGCAGAAAGGGGGAAGGTTAAGAATTACTCAAGACTAAACCCAAAGGGCTTACATAAAACCTAATACAAATCCTGCCATGCCCTCAAATAAACAGGAATTCCAACGTGGAGCTGGCCCCACACACTCTTCACAGCACCAGGCGCTGAAAGACCACCCAAATCAGGATGTCCCCAGCAACAATGGCATGTGGTTTAAAGCTCAGCCTCTGTGCCTCGGTTTCCCATGTGATAAAGTGGGTACGACTGTGGTCCTGTCCCTGACACTTGCTATGGGAACGACATGTGTAGAAGGCTTAGGACCTAGAGTGTCCAGTCCAGGGGCCTTCTGTCGTCAGCTGTCATAATAAACAGAAGCTTTGGTAAAATGTTCTCAGCTATCCGTGCATGAATGATGCACACTGAGCTTGTCCAGTCTGGGAATGCAGGAAGCAGGCGTGGTGACCCAGGGCCCAGCGTGAGGGACACCAGGACACAGAAGGACAGTCCAGGAGGCAGTGCCCAGAGGGCAGCTGGAAAGGCCCACACTCAGAGCCCGTGGGGTGAGGGGCCAGACAGTCAGGGACCAACAGGCCCCTGGGAGATGGTCTGAGGGGATCTCTGAAGCACTACCAGGCCAGGTCTCCCGGCACAAAGCCAACAGAGTCGTCCCCAGCAGAAATCAGGACTCTGATCCCCAGTGAAGGAGATGTGGACAGGGACAGTAAGGCCCAGAATGCGCTGGGATCAGGGAGTGAACTGATCCTGCCTTGGGGACCCCATGTCACAAACAGCAGCATCACTCTGCTCTGGGGGCCCAGGGACCGAAAACTCCTTTACCAGTTTGATCAATGCTTCCCCAGCTGTCCCCTCCCTTCGTAGTCTCCAGTGACCATCACCATCCTGCTCTTCTCTTCCATCAACTCCTTCACCTCCCATGGAGGACTAAGCTCATAGGGTACTTGTCTCTCTGTACCAGGGTTCTTTTTTATTTTGCGGTTCTGGGGATGGAACTCAGGACCTCAGGACCTTAGGACCTTGTGCTTGCAAGACAGGCAAGGTGCCACTAAGCTAAATCCCAGCCCCAGTACCAGGGTTCTTGCACTAAGCAATCTGTGCTCTGGCTCCATCTAGGTTGCTCCCAAATGACAAGACCTCAAAAATACGTACAAATCCCAGGTGTCAACTTAAAAATAAGAGTAAATCTGATAAAACCACAGAGCTGCCCCCAAAGAAAAATATGCCAACAAATACCAAATATTCCCTCCTACAGTGGGAGATGTCTCACCTGGAGCTGAGGAGGGGGGCATCAGCTGTCGATGAGAACAGGCTGAGAGGGCCAGGGGCAGGCAACACAGCTCTGTGTCCTGTGCCAAGGGGTCCTGCTTCTCAGGGGGGCATCACCAACTTTAGGGGCCGTGTCCACCTGGAAAGGAAGAGTACAGGGTGAAGCTGAAGGACCAGGCCGAGTGTCACACAGTCAAGACCCCAAGAAGGTGGAGGGGTGGACACACTCACTAACCTCACTCCGAAGTATCAAAGGCCCACGCCCCACAGTCCTTTAGGACAGAATACTTTTGGGAAATCAAGTCACAAGTGTAGAGAACAGAAACAGCTTGACAACCACAAGCCTTTTTGGCTTTAACATGTGTACACCTAGCACTTGGCCAGATCAAAATGACACCAACTCATTCTGTAGCTGTCACTGCTCAGCACACATGGAAAACAGAGCTCAGGCTTTGCCAGCAGCAAGAACTAAAGAACAGGACCCTTTACAGACAGGGGAACTCACTGAGCCCTAGTGCTCCCTCTTGGCCTGCACATTAATACACCTGCACCTGGGGTTAAGTGGTTTAAAATAACCTCAACACCGCTCACAGTGGCTCTTCTGCTGCTGTACCCGGTACTCAGCCCACTATTATTCACCTGTTTATGCAGCTTTCTCTCAGTGTTTGGAGTACAGCATTTTTCACATCTGAGTCATTTCCTTGGGGCCAATTACATGCCTGCCGGGTGGCCGCATGAGGCCTCTCGATGCCTATAGGGAGGCTGGCTCAGGACCAACCTAAACCCAGTCTGCTCTGCGCTCCGACCCGGAGACAGCACGCAGCACCTTACAGGAGGCTGCGAGGGTCCCAGCTCAACAGCACCAATCACGTCACAGCACAGTCCCCAGCCTGAGGCTAGGGACTTCCTGGTGCCCAGGAGGGGGCTCAGAAATGATGGCAGGGAGGGGGTTCCAGAGAGGAAAGTCAGGGGTATGAGACAGAAGGGAGATGGGGAGGACGGTGAAGGCAGGCGGCTTTATTCAGAAGGTCCAGGGCACCTCTAGCACAGATAGCAACTCCCTATCACCCCCTTCCCACCTGCTCCACTTTCCCTCTTTCTTTCTGCAGAAACAGGAAGATGGCAGTTCACGTCCAGCCTGGGCAACTTAATAATTCAGTGAGACCTGTCTCAAAATAAAAAATAAAAAGGGCTGGAGCTGGAGCTCAGTGCAAAGGCCCTGGGCTCAATCCCCAGGACAAACAAAACAAAACATCACTTAAGAAATTTTATAAATACCATCTCCACTTCTTATCCATCTCTGAACCACACTGCCTCCTATACCCACTTTCTCTGGAATTCACAGACCAGGCCTCCACCCTCCCAGACTCTCCACCTAACTGGACACCTCACCGCACCTGGCCAAGGGAGAAGGGTCCCAGCCCTGGGCTGGAGCACAGCCACCCTGCCCTGCGCTGCCTCTGTCCATCTCTGCCTTGCTTCGTTCAGTGGTGCCCAGGACTCCATCCTGCCCTGAGCTGACTCTAAGCAGAAGCTTCTCCTGGGGCCCCTTCAGACCTCCCTGATCTGCAGCCAGGGCAGACGAGGCACACAGAGTCTCCGGGCACAATGCACGAGGGCCTGACTTCCAGTTCTATGACCTCAGGCTGCAGTGGCATTGGGGGCTTCTGTGGGGCCAGGGAAGCCCATGAGGTAGGCAGACCCTCCGCTCTCTCACACCCCTGCCAGGGGGCTCATCCTACACATCATGGAGTGGCAGGAGCACAGTGCACACTGTGGAAGAGAGGAGGAGGACAGAAGGAGGGAAGGTGGGGGAGAAAGTCCAACACCTATCTAGGAATCAAGGGGAAGCAACAGGGGCCCAGGTGAGGTTCAAAGTGTTGGAATGCAGAAGAGCTCTCCGGGGGTGGGGAAACGGCAGGAATTGCACAGTAGAAAGCGGGACCACCACCCCACCGAGGGAGCAGGACAAACAAAAACTCCTACTTGAGCAGTAACTGATCTGGGTCAAGTGGGTATTGGAAAAACGGTTTAGAGTAAAATTCAAATTATACCTTTAGAAAATACTAGCAACAATAAAAACTCCCAGATTTCATCCCCTGGGTTATTTGTCAGACTGGAGTTTTCATATAAAATAGAATGATGAAGGAGAGAAAAAGGAGGGATGCACCCAGGAAATTAGTAAAGTCTTCACACCCTGCCCCCTTCTACCTGAGGTACAATGATACCCAACCTACGTGTGGACAAGCTGGGTACTTGCTGAGATGCTTATGCCCAGCCCCTGGGTCAGTCAGCTGGGACCCCAGGGACTGGAAGACTGGAGCCCATCACTCCCACCCTCACCAGCACTGTCCACCACCGCAGTGCTCCTCAACTTTATGTGGCCAAACATGACCACGCAAGCAGCATGAAGAGGCCCCAGGCAGGGTCCCCATGGTGCTCTGGTGGCCAGGACCTACCCAGAAACATGCATGTATCACAACATGATAGCCACGTCATGTAGAACACACACAGCTATGCTTATTAAACTGAAGACATGCCTCTGAGGGATCAGGCATTGTCCTACCTGCAGTGGCTTGCATATGGTGTGTCCCCTCCAAAACTCATGTTGACAACTGATTGCCACTGTGGCAGTGCTGGGCAACCGTGGCTTTAGAGGTGATCTAGACAAACGGTCCTCTCACAAGACTGGGTCAGTTCTCACTGCGTGAGGGAGGTGCTCCTTTGTGGAACCGGATTAGTAACCGTGACCGGGGAATTGTCTCCTCCACACACCCCCGCCTGCCCTTCCATGAATCTGCTGGCTTACAAGACATCACAAACCCTCACCAGATGCAGCCACCTGGTTCTGGACTCCCACTCTCCAGAACTATGAGCCCCATAAACTCCTATTGTTTACACATTACCCACTCTGGAGTAGTCTATTATAACAACAGAAAACAGACTAAGACACTACAAGATCAGAATGAGAAACTTAAACAGGAACTAAGTTATACAACCAGAAATTAAGCAAAAGAATTAACCATGAACATATGGAGCCCCCACAAACCCCCTCTTTCCAGAAGGGCTGACTTCATCCCACAGCTCCTCCCTTGCCCAGTGCAGCCTCAAAGTACTAGGGACAAATGGTTGGCAGGAGACCACTAACACTCAGGGCATTGCTGCAGGGGGAGGGGACATTTGTCACAGTTTGTGCCCACACTGCATCTATTAAACACCTTATTCCTGAGGAATTCCCCTCAATTCGGAGGAATTCCTTTCTTATTCACAAGGAATTCCCCATATCATGAATCCTGCCTTTCCAGCCAGAAACACAGGCAGAGCAACACACATCAGAACCACCCAGTGGACATCAGACCCCAACCAGGACACATGCCATGTGGATTCTTGACTGGGGAGACCAGGTACAGAAGCCCTCACGTGGGAAAGCTGGCCCTAACACCCAGTGTCTGGTGTCCAAGCATGAGTTGCATCCCCAGGACCACCACAGAGCAGTAGCTCCCGCTACACCTGATAAACCTCCCAGGCTGGCTCTCCAGCTCTGTGCCAGCTCCTTCCACCTTGGGAGGGGCCCTGAGCAGACACACAATAGGCACCCCGGTCCACGCCCCTGCAAACCAGGTGGGCACAGTGGTGGGGAGGGGAGCACCCAGGGAAGACCCCTGTGGAACCCTGGAACCAGAGCCTGGGCTGTCTGGGGAGGGACCTCCAAGACTCCTTGGAAGCTGAAACAGAGTCTGGGGACAGGCACTGGGGCCACAGCCTCATGGTCTCACCTACTCCTTGCCATGCCAAGGGACACGGCTGCTCGACAGGTGGGGCACGGCCCCCAAAGCACAGGGCATGGGTCTCAGGGACATTTCCCCAAAGCCAGGGCACCACAGAAACCCAAAACGATGGCGTGGACAGCTAGAGGAGTTTCTGCTCCTTTCGGGGACCTGAGGTAGCCAGGCCCCCATCAGAAACTGACAAGGAAGTCTTAACCAAACTTAGCCCGTTCTCTGCTGCTATAACGGGACACCTAAAATGAGGTGATTTAAAACAAACAGAAAGTTGCTTGCTCTGGGCTCTGGAGGCTGGGAAGACTAAGACGGCAGCAGCACAAGAAGGGCTTGAACTCATTCACATGGCAACCCACATGGGAATACCTGGTCCATGCTGGGGAGCACAGCCTCGAGGCCCTAACAAACTGACACTGAGGACTGATTCTCCAGCACATGCTTCCATATTTCCACCTTCTCCCAAGGTACTCGACCTTTCCACCATGTCCCACATAGATGCAGTTATGGCAGAATCCCAAATATCAAATATGTAGATTTAATGTGATGGAAAAATATTCAGAGAATTCGGCTCCAACTATTTGGTCATAACTGAAAAGTGGTTATGGATGAGGAATGGCAAAAAGCAAGGGATAAATCATGCTCATTAGCTTAAAAATGGCACAGCTTCCATGTTCCACTGAAAGCCAGTGGGAAAGTGGGGAACAGGATGGTCCTGAGACTATGTCCATAACTATGGTGCTCACCTGTTAACATGATCCATACATATATGGCCACCCACAGATGAAAGGATAAAAAAACATGGTAATTACACACAGTGGAGTACTGCTCTGCCATAAAGAAGGATAAACTTCTTTAATGGATGCACCTTGAGACCATAATGTTAAGTGAAATAAATCAGACACACAAGCTTCAATATTGCATGGCTTCTCAAGTATAAGGAGCAGGACAAAAGATAATGGGAAATAGGGAGACAGATCTTTCTCAGATGGGAAAGGAGATCAAGAGAAGGAGGGAAGGGAGGAAGGAAACGGGAAGGAGACATAAAAAGAATTAAGCTATGTTATGTTCATGTACCAACTCCCCGCAATGAATGCAATCAGTACATGCTGCAAAAATGGACTCATAAAAATAAACAAATATGACTAAAAAATAAATAAAATGCATAACTTTAAATGTCAAAAGAGAAAAATTATCCATGAAGCTATTCATCAGTCTTAGCAAGCATGCAGACCAAGTATGTCAGCTTAAAAGATGTGGCTAAAAGAAACATACAAAGCCACAAAGCCACATGCTTGTAGAAAATGAGAATTCTATACTTCTACGAGCCCTTGTTTCTTAAAGCAGAGTTCTGAAAGGG